CCCAGCGCCAGCTCCTCGCTCCACTCGCGCGTCTCCGTCTTGAACCGCTTCACTGGGTGCTCCAGCCTGCGCACAACACATCATGTAATGCCGCCTTTACACACATACTAGCCTTCGTCCGTGACTCCGCCCGCGGAATGGAATTAAAAAAATATAACAAAAACGAGTAGCCTGTATGTTCTTCCAAACTATCCTCTACATCTATTCCAAACATCATCGACATACCGTTTAGCCGTTCAGGCTACAAACTGTAACAAACATCCATCCATCTATCTAAACTTTCGCATTTATAATATATAGTAAGATAGCAATGACACTTTTACAAAAATTCCAAAGGATAATAAAAGGTTACTGTTAAAAAATGAAACAGAAGCACCATAAGTAAAATTGTTAACAGAAATGTAAATAGATGTCACCAAATATTGAACACAGCATTATTTGTCTGCAGAAATGTTGTTGCGCTATCTGGTGTGTGTTGTCGCGAGGAAAAGATCCACATCGGAGATACTGCGGCCCGATGTGACCGTAACACTGCCTCGCTTTACTTAGTTTAGCTTTCTATATGCAGTGCTAATCTAATCAAAGCGTTCAATTTTTAACTAAAAGAACTAACAAAGTAAAGAAATACTTGATTTCGAATTCAAAAATAACTTAAGTGTCTCATGCTAAGTGATAATTGTAACATCATACCTGTCCACCAGTACCAGTGCCGGCAACAATAAACTTTAAATCAAACTCAGACACATAAATTAGTTTTTAAATACTTATCAAAATTTTCTTTATTCCTACTGAACTTCTCTTAAATCACAACAAAATCGAAACATCTGAAAGTTGTGGCTTGATGTTTATTATTCGGTCGTAAATACAGAAATGTCAAAACCCTATTGAAATGTTTATTATTGGGATGCATCTTTTAACATCAATGACGAATAGGATAGTATGACACTATTATGATGTAAGTGTGGTGCGTGTTGCGTGTGGTAGGTATGGTGCGTGTTGTACGTACCATGCGTGCACGGTGGTGTAGTCGTAGAGCATGTGCAGCGAGTGCTCGTCCTCGAGCGGGTCGAGGCGCTGCTCGGCGGGCGGCAGCGCGGGCCGGCGCAGCAGCTCCGGCGCCGCGCCCGCCGCCCCGCCCCCGGCGCCCGCCCCGCCGCCGTTCGCCCCGCCCCCGGCGCCGCACCCCGCGAACCCCGGCGAGTCGCCCTGCAAAAATTTAGATTCTATTTTACATGATCTGTAAAGAACAGGCACTGAACTTATTTGACTAGGTTAGTTAAATTGTTAGCACAAGATGATTCATGACAAATTTTCAGAGATATCTAACTCGAACGCAAATACTAAATTACTGACTAAATTCATCATGTTTTCCTAATAAATCGTTATTTTCTTTATTTCATGACTTCAGGCTTCGTATCCACGATTCGTCGACCAGTCTGTGATTGTGTGCCGTACCTGTGTGTAGGGCTTGTGCGGCGGCGCGGAGGGCGGTGCTGGCGTGGGCGGCGCGTGCGGGTCGGGCGTGGGCGCCGGCGTGTGCAGCGTCGTCGGCACGGCGCCCGTCTACACGTAACCCACAACAATCTTAATCTATTTACTAATTTCTATACATACGAAATATTTTGCGTTATAAAAATGATCTTTTAAACAATTTCAGATCTATAAAAACAAATGATTTGAAAACATGTAATGATAGGGTGTTGGTTAATACAGTTTAATGACAAACGACACATGTAGTAAATGTATGTGCGCGTGCTGACCTGGTGTGCGGGCAGCGCGGTGAGGTGCGGCGAGGGCGGCGGCGCGCCGGCGGAGGAGGGCGCGGAGACGGCGGGCGCGGGCGAGGCGCCGCCGCAGCTGCCGGGCGAGCACGCCCCCGCGGCGCCGCCAGACCTGCGAGCGTCACACACACCACCATTGATATAACTCCACACTACCGATACTTACGACTAAAACCTTGATGGATGAAAAGTAACTGAGAGTGCTCACTTTCTGCTCTTTCTTTTTCGTTTTTCTTTACACCGTGTTTTACAGATTGGTAACATTTATGGTATTCTCGTTATGTAAATTACGAATGAAGTCGCAAATTGTCTTAAACATATTAAACTCGTAAACATCACTTTCCCACGTGAATGAAGGATTAACAGAACATGTGTTGCGCACACAGTCGATACAAATGAATATTTTTGATGTACAAATTAACAATGGATGACCAACCAAATCCGCGTATGATGTCTTACGTAGCGTCGAGATGAGAGGTAGATGTTATAATGTATGTAAATCGAATGTGATAATGAATTCTCAAATTTCATTGCCGGATTACCTTATTGTTTTAGAGGATTATTTCCCTTTACACAAGGGTGAATTAGCCTTATTATACATGCGTCAGAATAACGTGTTATTGTGTTATGTACGTTGTAGGGTAAAACGGATGTGTGAAGGTTCAAAGCTATTCCACAACACTGAACGTGATGCGCAAATAACTTCATAAACACAGGAAAAGAAAGATAAATTTGGTGACAATAATTGGCCAAACGAATAATGTCCCAAAAATATCTTCTATTGATTTGACGATATAGGCGTAAGTGTGTATTTACACAAAATAATTGTAACCAAAGCTGTAGGAGGTATGTAGTGAACGAGTTATATGAAGGGAAGTATGAAAACAGAGTTGTAAAGACACAAAACATGCAATGTACATTAATAACAAGAGTAGTAGAGTCATGCAGCATACTGTATCGCATTAGATATATAACTACAGCTCTGCAGGCAACGTGACATGCGTACAAGCGATATTGCATCCTTTGTGGCTCGCAATCCTTATCAAATAACATTCAGTTCTTACTTGTGATCTCGTCTGCAGTGCCAATGTTCACTTACCTACTTGTTAGAGCGACTCGACGGCGTCGAAATGCTGACCTTAAATTTGATAAGGCTAGGATACTTTCACATTTCGCCACAACGTGTCATCTTAATGATCGGGGCAGCAGAGTAAAGCGTCGGACCGGTCCTGTCCTTACCTGTTAGCACTCGTCGCTGCTTTCGTGACGTTCTCCTCGCCCGCTGCCGTTGCACACATGATAGTACCAATTTATACTTGTAAGTTGCAAGGTTAATGTTTCGATGAACCACAGTTTGACTCAAACTTTTCGATCCAATGAGGCATATAAATGTGTAATGTACACATATGTGGTGTGTAACGCTTGCAACCGTGTGGTATATAACCAGTATAAAGTGGGTGCGGGCGTACTCACGTGTTGTCGCGCGGCGTGCGCGGCGCGGCGGGCGCGGGCGCGGGCGCGAGGTGCGCGGCGGGGGCGGGGGCAGGGGCGGGCGCGCGCGCGGGGCGCGGGGCGCGGCGGTGGAAGGGCGGGGGGCGGGGCGTGCGCCGGCGCCGCCACCTGCACAACACAAGGCTACTGCCGCCGGCCGCACTACTGCCTCGCTACAGCCGCGCTACTGCCGCCCTATTGCCGCCCTACTGCCGCCCTACTGCCGCTCTACTGCCGCCCTACTCGCCCCCGCGCCGCACGTCCGTGTGACCGTTACCAACACTACAACCGGCACTACTCACTACCTAACGTATGCAACAATTAAAAGACGACTAAACTGTGAGACTTGAAACAAACAAGCGCACTTCGTTAAGTCAATGTCATGCAGAAGCGGTTAACTCAAATACTACAATAAGCAAACAAAAAGTCATGCATGCACATAAACATTTTTTTTATTTTCCTCAATATACCTTTAAATTCCTTTACATAACCTAATATTCTTAAATATCTGTCAGTAACATAAAATAATATTTCATGCTATTATAAAAAAGTTTAAACTAAAAGACGTTAATTACAACAAAGGATTTTACATTCAATCTTAGGTGAAAATGTAAAATTTTATTTCTATTATACAACCCGCAATAATTGATCGAATAATTTACAAAGCAACATATATAATTCCATTACCAGTCAAGTCTCACGCTAATTAAATTAAAAAGCAAAAACATTATTTAAAAATTACTCCAAAAGAAAATATAATTTGGATACGTGTCACACGAACGAGCAGAGCGGAGGTGGCGCGCGGCTTTGCGCGCACTGCTCACATGGAATTATCAACACATTCTCACTTTATGTAGAAATTTAAATCTTCAACTATGTAATATTCTTTAAAAATGTATTATAATTACTCTATAACAAACAGAAATGCATTGATATTTCCACAAAACCCCTTACATTACAGCATAAAAGTCATCTTATTGATGCAACTTTTAGTTAGAACTACTTCCCTCTACGAATAGTTACAAAATAGTATATTTTCACTAATATAAACATTCACATAACATCTACCTATCTATCTACATGTGAGCTCCTCAAATATCGTTCTCAACACATCGTTGACAACAGTTATCATGCACTGTCGTCCAAAGCATCACGCGATCGACGCTTACATTTCATTCCGATGCAAAGTACATAATAGTTCAATAGATATAATGTAAAAGTAATAAATGCATTATACAACGTTCGTACAACTACTACTATATCTGCACCAATCTACAATATATATTGTAATGTCAGGAAACGAGCGCTGAATTATTTACTGCAATTTACAAAAATATATCGCTACTTTTTAGATATAAACAATAAAATACTAGCAGTGATTTGTATAACAGTACTCCTGACATTTACAGACTATTGCTGTGTCGAGGCTTTCACAACACCAACAAAAAACACTGTAAAATATCTTTTATTTATAAAGCTACTATGGTACAAAATTATATAAGTACAACAAATATATGACTATGCAGTTTGTAATACAGCGCAAATTTCCCAACAAGTGTCGATTTTGTGGGCGTAGCTCTGGCCGTGTGTGGGCGTAGCTGTGTATGGGCGTAACCGTGTGAAGGCGTAGCCGTATGTGGGCGTATTTGTGTATTGGCGTAGCTGCGTGTGGGCGTTACACTCACTTTGCGCAGGAACATGGCGTCTTGCGCGTCGGGTCCGCGAAGTCCTCGCTTTTGTCGCCCACCGCCTCGCCGTAACACAACTCCGCCGTCTGAAAACCGTTGTACATTTTTAAATGTATATTATCCATAGTCATAGATACTATTTATAGTGAAACAAATATTAGGTGTACGGATATGACATAAACAAGGCTCTTAATCTTTGAGCACTTGTATAGACATTCAATATCCGGCAATAATTTAGGAAGATTACTCAGAACTGATCACAACTTTAATGACAGAACTATTTCCAACTTCCAAAAAAATAGGCAAAATGCATATGACGTCAAATTGGTCGAACGAAAATGGTACAATCATTTTATTTTAATATTTTAGCCTAAAGGTTTAATTTTTTTGAGTCAATATTTTTCTGGTTATATTAGTTATAATAATTAAATTAAATAAAACAAAAATTCTTGTTAAAGAACAAACGTTTAAAAAAAGAAAAACATACATATGCATGTTCCCTATTTTATAGACATAGTAAATAATAAATACAATGACAGTATCTTAGTGTATTAGTTGTTACCTGGTGCGGGATGGGCGTGGTGAGGGCGCG